AAAACAATTATAAGAATACAAATATCTATTTATTCGAAAAAGAGAGGTGTCAAAACAGTAACTTGGGAAATGCCAACAAACAAGAAAGAATGAGTCGAAAAACAATGGATAAATAGAGTAGTTAGACATTCATTATATCTAAACCGTTTGGGAGCTTGAATTTGACTTTGAATCAGATATTGAAGATCACCAAATGACTTCGATTTAGATGACTTTTTTCCAAGGTTTCACTTTATTTCAAATATTTTTTTTAATGTAAACTAACAAGAGCAAGCCTATTTTTGAAATTATAAAGTATGCAATAGATGATTATGGTTTAGATATGCTCTAACTTAGCATTCCATTAAATAATACTAATTCTGCAAATATTACATTCAGCAAGAATAAAATAGTGCAAATATATTGCAACTAAAAACATCTACAAGGCATACTTGTATAGATTAGCTATGTTGGATTATTTATTCTAATGTATATTGTTTTTGGATAAAAGTACTAAGTTATTCTTAGTAAGTATTGAAATTTACAATTCTTACAGGTAAACATCTCAACGTGACGCATTACTGTTATGTCAGGACTATTTCCATTATCTAGATCATAATTAGTTATGAATACTCTGAACAGTAAAAAGACAATTCAGATCCATAGCTTATTGCCGCCAAAATATCGCAGTTTTGTGGTACTTGTTAAGCACAGTGCTGTGATCCACTGAGAAACTTTAGAAAAAGGAAGTCTAAAATTTTGTTCCAGGACAGGTTTCAATGAGAATAATTTGTTATGGAAATTAGATTTGTTGGTGGTTTGTATCCAGAGGTGCAGAATCTTCCAAAAATCCAAAAATTTCCCCCCACGCAAAAAAGTTTTTTGAAAAATTTCCCCACTGCATTTTTTTTTGGCCAGCGGGTTTTTCCAAAATTTCCCTATTATTTAAGTTTTTCAAAAAATTTCCCTCCCCGCGCGGGGGCGCATGAGGAAGATTCTGCACCTCTGTTTGTATCCTAGGATATAGTCATGAGTAAAACATAATTGTCAATCGCTCATGTACTTGGCTAGATGCCAAGGTTTTTATTTCAGAAAACGAGCAATTAGAAAAACTGAAACATTCACAACAAAATATTCTTATTGACATCTGTCATTGTAAAAAGTATCAAGTCGAAATTTCAAGCTCACTTTTCCTGAGGTTTCTGAGTAGATTACAGCACTGTCCTTAGAAAGTACGATAAAACTACAGTATGTCGGTAGCAATAAACTATGGGCCCGAGCTTTTTTTTTCCAATATTCATAACGAATTATAGCCTACATAATGCATATAGCCATAGGTTAAAAACGATGGATTACTTTGAAACATTTTCTCGCTAGTTACTATATTTATAAAGAGAAATTAAAAACACTTGAACACAGTTATTCTGATCGTAGTGTTTATTGAATTAATATTGATCAAATACCAATGATAATGCTCGACTAACGCGTTTACTATGATTCTTCACAATATGAAGTGTTGAAAATGGTTTTTCTTTTTTATGTGTATATAAGTATACTCAAAATACTTTGAAGATGCTTTAAAGAAAATAATTATATCGAAAGTCTATTGAATGAATGAGTTTTAGTATCTGATGGAAAGTGTTTAGACTTTGTTCATGTCTAATCATAGGATAGTTTAATTTTGCTTGATACTTCCTTTTTTTTTAATCCCATACTCATAAAGATGACATATAGAACATAGATGTAGCATTTGCTCAACCATTGAGCAAACAGAAAATACTCAAATATCACTGTAATTAAGGATTTCTACTATGAAATTAGCGCAAAAAAAACAAAAGTAACTAGCAAATCGGAGTATTGCTGCTTCAGATGTATAAACTACTACATGAATTCTGATACCATCGTTAAGGAAAGATAAATAAATGAAAAGTGAATTGCCATTAGCTTATTAAATCCAATATTTTGCATCCTGAAGTTTTGTTGTAAAAACTCAGATGCTTTTATCAGAAAATTTAATTTTTTGTTTTTGTGAGAAAAAGAAGTCGTTTTTATATTATTTTCTCCAAAAATATAATTCTAACTTTTGCCTATAAAAGTATTTGTTGTTTTTTAGATCATGTTAATGATGAGTAAAATTGTTTTGTAGCTCAGTCAGACCGTTAGTTATATTCCAGTAGATATATAAAATCATTGAATTTGACAATTATTTTGTATAGATTTTGATTGATGCATGTTATTTGTTGTCAATGATAATGAAGAAGTATAGTAAGGATGCAACTGTAAATAAATGATGAAGCAATAGCACGTGTATTCACCGTTTTTCTTCCTCAATGAATCGAGTATATAATTAAAGAAAAACATTCGTATATGTATATAAATTCTGGAGATTTATCTTCTGTCATAAATGTAAGAAGAAATTTCTAAGATATTTGTCATTTCTGTGATAAGTGAGTACAAATTTCTATCCTCTCCTCCACATTTCAATAATTCAACACGTTTTAGTTCATGTTTCATAAAAAAAAACAGATTAGAAAATAAAAAAATATTTTGTTGTTTTTTAGTGATAGATTTCGAATTCTATATTTTAATCTGAATGATCTGCCTCTATTAGCACAATTGATAAATTCGAATTTAATTGTTGTTATTAGATGTGATAATCGTTCAATTTCTCATATTTTATGTTAAATAGCTAATCTTTAACATTTTTATTTTACTCTTGGTATACGAACTGCAAGTTGGCCATTGTCAGATGAATTACTTAATGGTTATGCATGGTAAAATATGATAGAACATTATGTTTTACATTTTTTTAAATTTGAATTTTTTATTACAATTAAGAAAGCGTATCAAATTTTAGATTTCGATATGATTCTCAAGGCATTTGAATATTTTGTTGAAAAATATTCTAATTGAAATATGATTATTAATTATTGGAAATATCATAAAGAAATAGGAGGTAAATAAAATACATTGAAAGACAAATAATGATCCCATAAGGAATGAATTGTGATTAGAAAATAAAAATTGTCGCAAAAAGAGCAGTATGAAATCGATATTTGATTGAATTAACAAATGAATATTATAAACAACTAAATTCGTTGATTATTTAAAAAATAAAATGATTCTTTTTTGGTTCTAGGAGAATATATCGTGTTACATACATTGAATTATCGTCAAAATAGTTATATAACAACAATAGCTATAGCTAGTCCTTCTATTAATTTTGCAACATATCAAGTATGATCGACATAAATAATAGATGATTATCATCATTTTTATTAAATCATAGAAGATTTAAATATATGTATGACAGATCAATGAGCAACAATTACTTGGTCTTCTTCTATATTTCGAAAAGTTAAAAGTCTTGTTATAGAAATGTTGATGATATTTACATCATGGTGGCATTATTTATTAAATATTATTAAGAATAATATTTTCGACTTATTTTGTTTGATATAGATGAATTTCTCATTCGAAGATTTTTCTTTTTTAAAAAGCATTTTTATTGTTTTAGCTAATTATTATGCAGTAAATGATGATAATGATACATTAAAAATTATACCGCATCTTAAACAATTTGTTGATCTAAATAAAATTACTAAAGTAAAATTTCTAAAAATGAATCATATATCTCGATGGATAGGTATTCAACTTATTCTATAGTAAGTCTTCTTTTTGTTTTTTGTTTTATATTTGCATAGAAAGATCTGTGTTGTATTATTGTCAAAAAACGATACTGCTTAGAAATTGTAGTATTATATTTTTGTTTATATTTGTTTTAGAGGGTGTGGGTCTTAATTTCAGTCAGACACGCAACCAAACCCACACCCTAAAAATTTCAAATCGTACTACTAAATAAGAGTATCATATTCTCGTAAAATGTACAGTTCCGAACTTATAAGCACTTCATGAATATTCACAATGACAGATTTTGTTTTGCTTTTAAATTCCGATAAACTCTCAGATAATTTACCATTACTATTATTCAACTTTATATGACATCACATTTTCCAGTTCAAAACTTGTTCATATTTTTGTCACTTTTATAAAAATAAAAACATTTAGTATCTTTTTATAAAATAATAATCGATTAAAATTATTGATCAGTCAGAAAGATTCATTTCAATTCATTCAATATATACTGTAACTTTCTTATTAAATACTATTTACAACAGTATGATTGTCATATAGATACTTTCTTCAAAATGAAACAGACTAAGAAAAATACAGTTGTCAACAGTGGACGTTTATTCTAATCATGAGTAGTGTGTTACGATGCATCAGTATCTAACATAGGATCGATTTGGGTGGGTGTGGGTGTGTGTGGGTGCGGGTGTGGGTGTGGGTGTGGGTGTAGGTGTGGGTGTGGGTGTGGGCGTGGGTGTGAGTGTGGGGTGGGTGTGCGTATGCGTGTGTAGGTGTGAGAGAATGGAAGATTCACTCACCCACGCCCACATCTACACGACGCCCACTCACACCCACCCACATCCTCTCCTATAAATGATTTCTAAAGTTACATGTCCTTATCAAAATTATTGAACATTATTGATTTGCAAAGCACCAATTTTATATTCTCATATTCATCTGTATGTTTTTACTCGACAGATGTTTTATTTCACGAAAAGCACTGGCAAAATCGTGTCACTTTAGCTCAGTTACTTCTATTATTTAATTCACATCACAGTAATGATTTGAATTGCCTTTTACACTATCATTACAACTGCAGCATCAAATTTTCTCTTGGAAACTGAAGCGCTACAATTTAATTCATTCGAGGCGATAGGGTCTACCAGTGAGCCCCACTATATTTCCACAAGAAACTTAATCGAAAAAACTTTTTTTATCTTTTATTCTTAGGCAGGAGGTTTCAGGTAATGAATAATCTGCTCTATCTACGTTCTTTTTAAAATCATTTATTGCATTCCATGATGCTTCTCGTTAAAACAATTAAGACAAAAAATTTTCTACAATCAGAACAGAACGTGTTTATTCTCTCTGTTGTTGCGTGTCACGCTTCTCTTGATTGTTGTTTCCTGTTTTTCTCGTAACAACCAACACAGCGTCTTTGGACATCGCAGTCAGATCCTTTGTTTTCTTCGAGCTTGTGATCAGCTAGTTTGCGCTCCAAACGATATACAATGATATCACAAGGTGCCGCTTGAATTGCTGTTTGGAACGTCGATAGTTAATTGCTATTAATATATAAGGAAAACTCTGAAACACGCAACATAACCATCTTACAGTTTCAGGAAAGTCTCGTGCGATCAATACTTCCCGGTCTGCCATCCGAGACAATAATCAACAAGTCATTTGAGGCGCAAACCAGCTGATCACAAGCTCGAAGAAAACAAAGGATCCGACTACAATGTCCAAAGACGCTATGTTGGTTGTTACGAGAAAAACAGGAAACAACAATCAAGAAAAGCGTGACATACAAGAACACAGATAATAAAAAACTTTCTGTTCTGATTGTAGAAAATTTGTTATCTTGATTGTTTTAACGAGTAGCATCACGGTATGCAATAAATGATTTTAAACAGAGCGCAGACAGAGCAGATCACATATTACGTGAAACTTCTTGTCTAAGAATAAAAGATAAGGAAGTTTTTTTCTATTAAGTTTCTTGTGAAAATATAGTGGGGTCCACCGGTGGATCCCATCGCCTCGAATGGGTTAAGTTTATGATGAGTGGATGAATATTTGTTAAAAACTGGTCCGTATCTGTTGCTTTCAGTGAACGTCTTCATGTGCACGATCTCGTTTTCTTCCACCAGCCATATACTCACACTTCTTTCCAAACATACAGAAACAGTGATGACACCATCCACCTTTATCACATTTATAATTTCAATATTTACGGTGGATTGCAGCTTCTCCAAGTTACAAAAGTTAGATTCTTATTCTCAACCAACTTATTGTAACAAGAACTAGATAGTGAAAGCATGTGACGGACTGAATTTCTGGATGGAGAGAACTTAATTTAAGTAGCTTCTTGAAAATCTCACAACTATATACGTACTTGTCAGTTCATACAAGCAAGCGAACATTCCACGAAACATACACAACTTATGCTATTACTTATTATTCTTTCTGAGATCACGAATATTTAGAGTATATTGAATATGGTTGGAGATAATCAGAAGTAAAAATGAAAATTATGAAGGAATTCTATTTAGAAATATGAAGATTGAGTAATAATCGATCCGATCGAGACATTCTACAAGTCTCAATACATAAGAAGCCTTTGATCACATTAGAATGTTATAAGAAAATTTTCCTCTTTCTTACTACTCTAAAAAATTAGAAATAAAGCTTTCCTTTCTGTTATTTTTGAATTTCATCATAGGAAGCGTATTTTTAATCAAGTTACATTATTACATGATAATAATCTCTTTGCAGGCTTATTCCATGATTGTAGCGGTCTTCCATTCCTATTATCAATCGTAGAAAGTATCATTTATTCCTTTATTTTTCTTTTTTTTTAAAGATCAATGATTCATTGAGACTTATTTAAAAAAAATAAAGGATCTATTTATCTTTATTTTTTAACAGTAAAGGATTCCTTTACATTTATCCTTTATTATAAAGGAAAGTAAAGATAAAGAGTGACTCCTAGTGCCAGCAGAAAAAAAGAAGAAATACGTCATTCAACGATTTTCTTACTAATTCTGATTGACAGTTGAATTCATATATTCATACTTGGCATGTATGATGACAGAAACCAATCTACGACACTTTTGTTTCATTCTGCTTTGCACTCAAATAATTATATGCAATTCAAATGGTAATTTGAATAATTATCATTGAGGTACAAATCTTATTTATGAAAAATATTGTCCGAGATGTGATTTAGTATGAATAATAATTATTTTTTTGGTCCAAGAAAAAAAGTATGAGAATAGCTGTCATATTTCATTAGATTGTCCCGATCGAAGAATATCATCTGAAAAAATCCGTGCGTCACTTGAGCAAAATGTTATTTGAAAGACACATGCACCTTATGTGAAAGTATAAAACCAGCTATATAAGCAAACCTCCTAGAACTTGGTCCAGTATCGAGTATTTTTCTGTGAAATTTCAAATTTGCTGAAGTCAATTAAAAAAAAACCGAAGCCAGATTCAACCGTTCGCGAGATCGTGATTTGCATAGGAATTAGAACCGATTCTACCGTAATCTGGTACATTATATAGTCTAGATAACAAGAGTTGAACCACAGATATACCGTAACATAGATTTATTTATTTTCATCTATATGTATAATAATTTAACTCACAGGCTCATGGCATTGACATATTTTCGTTCATAGTACCGATCTTTCGGATCCTATGGCACTCGGTTAACAATGTTGATCACAATGAAGATAGGTTCCTTCTCAATTGCAGTCAAATTTTCCTTACGTTGAGAAAAAATTTCATTAGAGAATTTAATCCGAAAACTAATTTCATATGAATGAATTGAATTAAAATTGGTTCTTGATATTTGCGGTTTCAATTCAATTCAATTTAAGTAAAGAAAAACTGAACTGGGTTTCAAGAATTAAAGTATACTTTTTATCAGAAAAAATGGAAAATACAGATATAATTAATTCATTTTGTGATAATTGTCGAGCGCGTGTCTATCAAGGTGACTGAATCGTATTCACATCTTCATATGTGACTATTTTCTTCGCGCAATGTAATTACGAATCTCTCTTCTTCCTTGGGTATTCTTATTTAGTTTATGTACTTATGATCTTACTGTTTTGATATGCTTTATTCGCTCGAGTCACAAGTATAATGTCCTTAGTTTTTATCTACTAAGACAATATTATGCGCAACATTTGTTTCGAAGAACGGACGCGACGTTTCTCGGTAAAGACAAAACCTCGAGATGTAGATTTCTCTTTCGTTCACTAATACTTTATTCATCTGTGACTAGTTATTTAATCCACTTTCAAAAGAAAAAGGATATTAAACCATATGAACTAGAATTTTCTTAATTTGATTGAGTTCAAATTCAGAACAGATCGGAAAAATAAAATTAGTTTGTCTCATATGGAAAACAAAAAACTGTATCTGTGCAGGACACGACTATGAAATAAGATGATATTTCAACATTTATCGATGTCTAATAAAATAAGACTGCTGTTTTTATATTTTCTTTTTCTCGAACCACAAAAATAATTGTGATTCGTAGTCAGGAACGGCGCAAAAGGGTAGAAGCACAGGGGGGAGTACCCAAAACTCGAAGCAGCCTAATAACTTTCTCCGAATTCTAAAAATTTTTCCGGATTCGGACCATCGTAAGGACATTTCCTAAAAAATTTTACTATTTCTCAAAACTAATGACCAACGGGGGGGTAGCGCGGAGAAGGGACTCCGTACCCCCCTCCAGCCCTCATTCTGACTAAATTTGGGAGGAAAAATTTTCAATTTTCTCAAAATCGGAGGAAAAGTCGAGATAAAATTTCCAAAGCAGGAGGGGGAATCCCCCTCCCCCCCCGGTCGCACCGTCCCTGTTCGTAGTAAACCACATCCCAAACAATATTTTTGATAAGTAAGAGGTGTACCTCACTCTGATAATTATTCAAATTACGATTTGAATTTTATATAATTGGTTGAGTGCAAAACAAAATGAAACAGAAGTGTCTTAGATTGGTTTCTGTCATCATATATACTAAAT